CTTCCTACTCTTTCCCTTCAGCACAGGGTGGGCCTGGCTTTCTCCCTTCTCACTCAGATCTGCGTCCTGGTGAGTAGTTGCCGAGCCCATGTCTTCCTGGTCCCAAGGGTGAGGCAGGACTCAGGGATGCCTTGGCACCATGCCCACTGCTGTGGGCCCACCGTTTTTTGTCCCCAGTACTGGGTATTACACCCAGGGCCTTTGCACTGACATACTGATGGAGAAAACTTTTATAAATAGCAAAAACCTGTAAAGCGTTACAATGCAAAGCGGATTCTGCTGTCTCTAACAGCAGTTTGTTTTGTTTAGCTCAAAACTAACAGGCACCAAAGGCACTAACTGCCGAATGAGGCATTCGGTCTTACCTAGAGATACCAGGGCACAGCAAGGTCTCGAGCTCCCAGAGAGACTGAACCACCTGATGGTGAAAGTGTCAAGATAAAAAGGACCACTGCCAACATTCGCTCCCGTGACCCTGAGCACCCCCTTCCTATGGGCTAGAATAGATAACTAGGTGAATCTTAAAGGTAAACTCGCCAACAGCAAAGAACTGTTACGTCTGGGTTGAAAAGATGAACTATTTTGTGACTGTGATTTGAACTGAGAATGAAATGTAACCACCCAAATGAAGTCAAGGCTGTGAAACCCTATAAAAGGAGGAGCTGTAACCCAGTGCATCGTCCATCCAGGCGCGGCTTACGTGCGTGCCATCAACCCTTATTGATAAGTAAATTTGTTACACTATTTCCATTCTGCTGATCTGAGGGCGTCACTGATTCCTTCTGTAACAATACATCCCCGGCCCCTTTTCTTTTCTTTTTCTTTTGAAGGCAAGGATTTCAAGTTACCAAGTCACTCAGGCTGTTTGTTGAACTTGAGATCCTCCTGCTTCAGCCTCTGCAGCCACTGGGACCACAACAATGGGCACGTGTGTGTGTTACAGCAGTGCTGTGTTACAGCAGTGCTATGTATAGCAGCATGTGCACAGAAAATTGACTTCACTGAACAGTGAACTCATTCTGCTTTATTTTCTGGCAAACCTTATAAGAGACAAGTGACCCCCCCTTCCCCTGAACACTAGGACCTCGTTCCCAGGGCACTGAATGAGGGACCCGTGACAGGCAGGGAAGGCATCACCAGCTCCAACACGGCTGCTTTCTCCTTGGACAGCCAAGTTCCATCTTCATGCATGGCGCCCGGGTCTGTGACTTTTCCCTAACTGACCCCCCCTCGGTGACAGCATCATGTTCTGTGTTCAGATCAGGACACGAGCCGGGGTGTCCGGGTGCATGCAGGGCATGGAAGTGACCCAGCCCCTACCCCCTGCTGTGGCCCTGTCTGTGTCCCTAGGGGATTTGCATGCTGAAATCCCAACCAAACCCAAAACAATTACGCAAGGTGTGATCCAGGAATACGGTCAAAAATGTTTAGTAGAAGACAGCGTGATGAATCCCCTCAACATCCTCTCCCTCGCTTCAGAGATGCTCATCCCACGGCTCTTGCACTTTCTGCAGTAGCTCTGGGGTCCTCTTTCCTGAGTCGTTGGTTGCACCATCCTGGGTGCCTCAAGGTCCTAAAAGGACTCCAAAGGTTTCCCTTCCATGTCACTCTGATGTTGGGGAAGAGCCAGAAATACACAGTGCCACATCAGGAAAGGGGATGAGGACACTGTGATATTTTTATGAGCCTGCCTTTCACTTGGGTGGCACTTAGCAGCAGCGTTCACATTTTTTTATTTATTTTGTGTGTGTGGTACCGGGGATCAAACTCGGGTCCTTGCGCGAGGCAGGCGGTGGAACCGCTGAGCTAAATCCCGGGCCCCCATTCACCACATTTTCTATCACACCTGGTGCACTCTCCTCTCAGGAAGTGAGGCTTTTAAGAGGTGATTATGTCCTGGGGCTAGCCCCCATGAATGTGATTAGTGCCAGGCGTGTTGGTGCACGCCTGAGAGTCCACCCTTATGGGAAGCTGAGGCAGGAGTACTGCAAAGTTGAGCCTAGCCTGGGCAACTGCGTGATCTGGCAATACTCAGTCTCAAACGAAAATAAAAATAGGCGAAACACATGACTCAGCGTGAAGGCCTGGGTTCAATTCCTACTACTGAAAAAGGAACTGGGAGGCTGCCGAGCTAACTCCATGGTAGAGTGCCTTCCTCGTGCACACGCGGCCTTGAGTTCAATCTCCAGTAGCACTGTAAGAGTCTAACCGAATAGAGCGACTCCGTGTTGACCAGCAAACGACCTAGAGACTGCCACTCCCCCGCATCCCTTATAGGATAACTAATGATTCATTGTGAATTGTTAGGTACCTGCTTAGAAGCAGCTGGGAAACTAAATGGAAACTGTAGTGAACGCAGAGACCCAACACAAATCACGCCACTCCTTGCTTGCCTGTAGTTGAATGTTCCGAACATCATAATCTAAGTTGTAAATGGAACAATGGATAATCGATCTGCTGATCATTAGTACGTAACGGTTGAGTATATGCTTGGTGACCACCAGCTCAGATCCACTGATTCTCTGCCTTTGTCCCCTTCCTGTAAGTTTTGAGTGTAAACGCCCCCACAGCCCTATATAAAATGGCCTCTGTTTCTGAGCTAGCTGCCTCTCTGAGCTACTCGGCTCCGGGAGTGCCGTCTGGCCAGACTAATAAAGGTCTGTTTGCCAGCCTGCCTGGTGTGTTCCTTCCTGGGTGACTCTCGCTGTGCGACACGCTCCTGGAGCCTCGCTGAGCTTTTGGGCTGTTCACGCTCCAGGAGTAAAAGTGAGACTTAAATCTTACAGCACAAAAAAAGAACAAAAACTGTTTATTGACAAGCACGTGCTGATGCACAGCTCGGTGCTGAATCCAGGGTGCAGAGCCACTAAAGCCGGGCTGTCACTGCCCAGCTCAGCCCTCCACGCTCCGCAGGCCCGCGTGGCTCTGCAGCAGCACCCGTGCCTCCGCGCGCCGACTCATCTTGGTGGCCTTGCCCTGGAAGCGGCCTTTCTTCCCTGCTCCTTTACCTTCCAGGACCTCGGCCACCCTGCGGAGCAGAGACGCAGTCAGGGAGGGGCTGTGGAGAAAGGTGTGACACCCCACGGGTAGATGGAGGTCGGGACCCTTCTACGACACAAGCAAGGAGGGCGAAGGTTCCCAAACCTGGAAATGAGACGTCAGGGAGAGGGACGTGCTCCTGACCCCAGCGTGCTCAGCCCACACTGTACACATGGATCAGAATTATCACACGGTGACCCACAGGTAGACAGACTTATGTCCACGAAGAAACGGTTCAACCCGGTGTGGTGGCCCACACCTGTCAACCCGGCACTCGGGAGGCTGAGGCAGGAGGATCGACACGAGTTTGAGGCCAACCTGGGCTACACAGTTCAAGGCCAATGAACTATACAGGACAAGAGCCTGGCTCAGAAAACCAAAACTAAGGATTGACGGGGCTGGAGCTCATTGCAAGGGCCCTGGTGCAATCCCCAGTACCAGAAAACAAAACCTGTTTCACTGCCTACTGACGTGGCCCTTGTATTCAAATATCACTCAGGAACCCAGATTTCTAGAAGAATAACACATGAACACGGGCGATCTGGAGCCGTAGGACCTGGTTCCAGTCTGTTCTGCTACTTCAGCTGGGAGAGCTCAGACAAGGACACAGGGTCCCTCATCAGTCAGAACAGGACACCAAGGGCCGGGGATTTAGCTCAGCGGTTCGGTGGCCTGCCTCGCAAGCGCAAGGACCAGAGTTCAATCCCCGGTACCAAAAAGAAAAAGAACAGGTCACCAGGGAAGGCAACACCTCCCACATGCAGGCCACCAAGGTGACAGCTGACATGCTGGCCTCTGAACCACACCAGGAAGTCCATGGCCGCAGGCCCCTAACCGCCCACGAGGCCTGCATAGCTTTACCTGGGTCCCAGAGTCCCCACGGCTTCAGGGGGCCCAGCCAGTAAGAAGAGCCCAGCCCCCTTCTCGTCTCCCACAGTCAGGAACAGGAGGGTGTCCTGGAGGGGACGGGACAGACAGTGGGGTCACCGCAGGGCACCCGTCCCAAGACCACGGAACCTTGAGAGCCACCCCATGAGCCTGTGTGGAGCAGGGAGGAAGCAGGGCCCCTTATGGGGTAACGCTCGTGCCCTCTGCCTCAGCCTCCCGCCTGCACCCTGGGTCAGGCTGGTGAGCCAGAGCCTGGGCACTGCCAGGCCCCCTCTCTGCTACCCCTAACACCTGCCAGTGGGAAGCACAGACCCGGAGGCCGGCCCAGCTGCCCCGCACTGCTCTTACCTCGGCTCCAATCTCATTGGCAATGATGTTCATGAACTCAGAGTCACCCTCCTTCCTGCGACACAGGACACAGACCTGAGACCCAGGCACGACGGCCCCGGCCCTCAGCAAAGGGGAGCAGACCAAAGACCCGCACGGCACCCTCCCGGACTGGCCCCTGCGAGCGAGTGCTAGTCCCGCTGTAACTGAAACAGGACTCGGAGCAGGTGGCGGTGAAGCTCTGGGGAGGATGGGACGACCAAGTGCAGGACAGCTGGTTCCCTTGGGTCTCGGGGTCCCCCGGTGGCACCCCGGACACGCTGAGATCCGCCCAGCTCCTCACCTGTGCAGCGCCACCACCCCGCCCCAGTCCGGGCTGTCCCTGAGGCTGCGGGCAATGTGCACGGCCAGGTCTCTGAGCAGATTCAGGTTGTCCTGGAATGGAGGGGACACAACGGGGTGCCATCTCTCGGACCTCACTTCCCCTCCCGACCCCCCAAGAGGCTGAGGCAGGAGAGTCTACTGCAGACCGGGGCCAGCCCTCTCACCCCGTGGACCACTCACCTTCTGCAGGAGCTTCACTGAGCTCTGGAGCTTGGTCACCGCCTGCACGTGGTCCTCAGCCCCACACTGCGGGACAGGGAAGTGCAGGAGGCGCCTGCTGAACGGCCTGCCCCCCACACGAGCAGGCCCGCGGGCAACAGGGTGGGGACGGAGAGGGACAAACGCTCCGGGTCTCCTCCCAGACCGCGGACTGCTCTGTTCACCCTGCAGGGGGGCAGAGCTAAGGATTCCAGGCTGAGGACAGACAGACGGGGCCACCGACGGGGCCGGGGCCGGGATGTACTTGAGCAGCGCGGTGAGAGCCTTTTCGCTCGCGTGACTCCGCTCCACCCACTTCAGCACTCGGTGCCCGGCCAGAAAGAGCAGGTTGGCCTTGCTCTTCTTCCCCTTCTCGGTGCCCAGGAGCTTGATGACCTACAGCAGGGGTCACAACGACTCTTGCGCACACACCTGCACACACACGCAGCCGCCGTGCGTCCCGGGCCTCGTCCCCAGCTCCAAGGCAGGAAGGCGGAGGACCTCGGTCCCCTACCACCCCATCCACGACAGCTCACAGCCACGTGTCCACCAGCAGGTCTCAGAGGCTGCTCCCCTGGGGCCTGCCTGCGATGTCACCGCGCACAGGGGCGGCGTGATCCTCCCGCAGGCTCTGGCCAGCCCCTCCAGCAGGACCGCGGGCGTCATCAAGCTTCCACCCAGGAGGTTGCACAGCAGCCCCGGATGCAACCAGGTCGGCGGGCTCAGCTCCCGCATTCGCACGGGAATCCTCTTCATCCCCCAGTTCACGCTGGGCTGTGCTGCAGCTGCTCCGTGATCGCAGCAGCTGGTCCAGCCCCTCCAGCAGGACCGCGGGCGTCATCAAGCTTCCACCCAGGAGGTTGCACAGCAGCCCCGGATGCAACCAGGTCGGCGGGCTCAGCTCCCGCATTCGCACGGGAATCCTCTTCATCCCCCAGTTCACGCTGGGCTGTGCTGCAGCTGCTCCGTGATCGCCCAGCAGCTGGTGCAGCTCAGACCCGCGGGTGCTTAGAGGGCTCCCCTTTTAAAGGCCGCGGGCCTGGCGAGCGCAGGCGCAGTACTGCCTTACTCTCAGCCGCGCAGGCGCAGTACTGCCGCACCCTTAGCCGCGCAGGCGCAGTACTGCCTTACGGCTCCAGGACTTGGTCTCTGGAGGGCAGCACGGGTTGGGGCCTGGCTTCCTTTCCTCAGAGAACTCTTAGGAGCAGAATGGTTTAAAAATCCCTTGAAAACACTTTTCAACAAAGAACAAGGCACAGGTCAGTCTTGATGCCAGATAGGGCAGATGTGGCCAGGACTTTCAGTTTGTCTCCTCCTAATCTGTTACCAGGACAGGATGCAGGCAGCGGCAAGGCCGCACAACTCAGTGCTATGGCGGAGCGTTACAGTGCCGTACTGCAGCCAAGAGCCACAGCTCCGAAGCATAGCTTAGTGTTACAGCTCAGCGTGGCAGCTCTGGGACTCGGCTCTCGCAGTTTAAAGACCTGAGTATCTGAAGGTCACTTGACAAGGTGGAGAAAAACCTTTATTATCCCGGCAGGCTCAGAGGATTTGGTACTCTGAAGTCTGAGCAATTCACCAGAAATGAGTCTCTTCATACAGGGATGGACTGGGTAGGGAGCACGCTCACTGCAGCAGAGGCGAGGCGTTGCAGAAGTTCCTGAAACACATGCCTGTTGAGCATCTTCACTGAAGCAGAAGGTCAGTTACAGAACTTTCTTGAAAGGCGGTGGAGCTTAACAGAACATTCCTGAAAGGTCGCTCAATTCAAACAGTCACAAAACATTTTGATGCACTGGGCAGGAGCGTTGCCCAACAGCCCAAACTGTTACATTTCTGGGACAAAACATTTTGTGGAGAAAAACATGGAGGCAGGGCAAGGAAAAAGTAAGGGCCTTTCTTAATGTGTATTATTGCTCTATTATGACACAGAGGGCAACGAAGACAGCGATCAGTACCATGGACACAACTGTTCGTGCCAAGAGAGATTTGTTGATAGAGATGCATTTGGGAAGATGTTGCATTTGGCTTTCTCTAGGCTTCCGTGTCCTCACTGACGGAGGTGTCAGTGTTCCAATGCACCAGCTCCAACTGGGCCTGCCTGGAACAACTTGGGGTCCTGCTGTTCACTAAGAAGCAAAGCAGTTGGCTTGTCCTTGAGCTTGGCACAAGTCCTAGGAGTGTGGGGCTCAAGGAAGTCCATTTTCCAACTATGGATGAAGTGGGAAATCAGTCCTTTCAGTCAGCTGTTTCTAACTCATCCCCTGGAGTAGTAGTGCAGAGGCGAAGTCTTTGGACTTTGGAGCCTGTGGCAGACAGCATGCAGATCTCCTGCTGCTGACAGGAAGCCTCCTGAAGTGGAGTTGAGGCTTCTCAGTGCCAAGAACTGAGGCCTTATTGCTGGCCTCTGGCTGCTGTGTGCATTTCCGTTGGTGAGCTGTGCACTTGGGTTGGTTGGGGTTGTTCTGCAGGCCACAGAAGAGAGAGCTTTAACCAAGCAGATACTGCAGATACTCTTTTGGGAACACGAGAGCGGTGGAGTTGGCTTCGATCTTTGAATTTTAGCCCATGTGTTCTTTATAACCTGTATGCTTTGGGTGAAGTTTTTTGCTCTGTTTCTCACCACAGGCTGGGCTATGGCAGGGCTGGAGGTAGGGGACCTGATTAGCCAGGGGCCTTTCAGGGAGGAAGGGTGTAAAGTGAGAATGAGGCCTGACTGAGACCAGTGAGGCAGGCAAAATTCAAGCAGCTGGCAAAGAGCTTATTGCCGCCTGGGTACAGATGGGCTGAGGGCGAAAAGGGCATTGGCACTGAGAGGAGGGTATGTATGGTTGATATGGGGGAGTTTAGCTAGGGGTGGTTTTTTTTTCACAGAACACAGAATCAGCTTTCTCGCAAGTGTATCTAACGGGTGGCAGCTGGCTCCCTGTCATCTCTGTCCTCCTGCAGGTGTGGGTAGCGGGTCTGCTTAGGCAGGGGGACCTGACTTGGAGACCTGTTAAAGGGGCAGCTGCCTTCGGTACCTCTGTGTGGATGGAGTTTCCAGCCAGGTTCCTGGGCTGGGACACCCCTGTGACACTGCTCTAGCTTTCTCGCAAGTGTATCTAACGGGTGGCAGCTGGCTCCCTGTCATCTCTGTCCTCCTGCAGGTGTGGGTAGCGGGTCTGCTTAGGCAGGGGGACCTGACTTGGAGACCTGTTAAAGGGGCAGCTGCCTTCGGTACCTCTGTGTGGATGGAGTTTCCAGCCAGGTTCCTGGGCTGGGACACCCCTGTGACACTGCTCTAGCTCCACGGCACTGGGGATCCCGAGGCTTCATTGGCAAGGGGCCAGGTGACCTGCCTCTCCCTGACCTGCTGCTTCTCCATGTCCTTGAGCAGCCTTTTCCAGCGTCCCTTGAGCCTTGAGCGCCC